CATCCCTGCTCCGGCTGTCACTCCTATTTACAAGGTACAGTTACCCTGATATTGGGTTAATCAAAGGGGAGAAGGAAGCAACAAATTTAGTGAAATTATCTTGAGATTATTCTGTTCTCTTGTGGGGCTTCTGTGTGAAGGGGGTATCTACTCTATTAACTCCCATTTATATCAAGCCTCTGCTATTAATAGGATTTGCATATGGGAAGGAAGAGGATTGACCTTTAAATTCATTAAATAAAGCAAATTTAAAAAAAAATAATTTTAGTTAAAAGCATTAGCGTGATAAAAAATACAAGAACAAATACATAGACATCAGTATCTGGGCTTCCGTTAACACTAACGAGCAAATTATTGCAGGGGAAGATTTGCATTATTGGAATACATATTCCAGCCTCCATACTGATATATGTGATGCGGGGTTATCTTTGTATGGCTCCTCTTTCAGAATATATTTTCTTCTTATAAAATAGCCTCTTTTTAACTCCCATTGGGGACCTCCTTATAAATGAGGAACTGGCCCTCAAGGGACTGGCCTGGCTAGAAAAGTGTGTTATTAAAAAAAAAAAAAAAAAGCATATTAGAATACTAAGCAATATAATTAGCTCATTTCTTTGTGGTTTTTTTTTTTTTTAATCTTAAAAAAAAAAGTATAGCCAAGTTTTTAATTAAACATATTCTCTGGATGTTTGAATTGTGTAAGAATTAGAAAATCTTGTTGTATTTTAGAGGGATTAATTGCATCAATTTAAGGTTCTTGCTTTAATCTCCGATATGCAGTCAGGTATCACCACTCTTCTAACAAACCAGCTACAGTATCACAAATATGTGATGTTTGCCCATGTGGTTGGGGCCACGAGGTGCCCCTCAGAGGGGCATTCTCTGCCCACGAGTGGCAATTAATCTATCCGTCTCCTAATCTTTTACAGGGGAATGAACAGAGGTTCTCTGTACCAAAACTGGCTAAATACGCAGATTCAAAATATTGTTGGTCCTAATAATAAATATTGATTTACACGTGCTGAAAAGCTTCTGTTGCCTTCACAGCAAGTAGTCTAAAATATAATTAGATTAGTAATGCTTTTACCACCATATTGCTTTTCGAGTCTGGTTTTGGAGTCACTGATATCCAACGGTCTCTGGATCTCCAGCATTGCTCTGCTCTTCGGTCTTAACCCATCCGTGTCTCAGCTTTCTGACAGAGCCCTTTGGAAAACACTTGGAGATACTCAGATCAAACTTGCTGCTGGCTCAAAGCAGTATTAATCGGTATTTTGTTATGCAGCTCGGTCTATAAATTCAGCTATTTATTCTGTCCCTATTCTACCCCAGGCCCCCACAAGCGGGAAGAGGTGAAACCATTCAGGTTATTCTTCTCAGAGCTCAGCTAATGTCATCTGCTGAATACAGCTCTAAACATCTGAAGTTGGTGAAATTAAATAAAGTGCGAGCATCCTTTGGTCTGTAGCTCTTTGCCTTTAAAACAATTACTCATGGTAACCTTAACAATAGTATATTAAGAAAAAAAAAATCTCCTCATAAAAGAATTTAGTGTTAGGATGGAGCTCTGCCTGATATTAGAACAATTATGGAGCAGATGCATCCACTCTGAACAAAGTGACCTTTTCATCAAGTTACAAAACATTAAAGGTTAAAGAATGTTTGAAAGGAAGTTAATACTTTTAAAACATTGGAAAAAAATTTCCATTCTTTCAAGACCTGACCGAAATCAGTGGGAAACTATAAGATGACTGTTTAGGCACATCCAGTCATAATTTAAGCAACTCTTATTACAGAAGGATATAAGGTGTTTTATATTGTCTGCTTTATTTTAAAATTAGAAGTGCTTTTTCAGAAAAGAAATGAGATTTGATAGGAATAAATACCAAAGGAAAGAAATCTGCTCTAAAGCTGGTTAATTGCAATTTTAAAGTCGTGTTTCTCCCTCTCCATTGTGTACAGATGACATGAGAACAAAGAGAAGGGAATCAATGATGGTGTCAGATTTTTCTTAGTTTCTGCATCTCTCCTGACCTGGATGGTGCGAACTCCAGTCCCCGGTGCGGGAGAACCCAGCTCCCACCCCCACATCCCCCCTCACCCCCAGGAGCACAAACCCCCATTTTCAGCAGAGACCTGGTGCCCACAGCTGCAGGGACACCACTCCCAAACCAACCAACCACCTGGGAGGGGGGACAAGTGCACGGATGGGGCTGCCAAGGGCAAGGGGAGGCTGGAAAGCACCCTTGGGTACCAAACAGGAGGGCATTCCCCCCCCTTCCCCAAATAACCCCGCCGAGGGATGCTGCCTCCCTGCCTTCCCGCAGGGCTCGGGGCCTGTTGCGCTCAAACAGCCAATTTTTATACTTTTTTTTTTATTATTATTAATTTTTCTTGGAGAAGGGGTGAGGGCAGAGGGTGCTGGTCCTCCACGTCCCACCGCACAGGGCTGAGCCTTTTTTTTATTTTTTTTGAGGTTTTACTCTATGATCTCAGAGATCCCTTCCAACCATGGCGATTCTGAGCCCAAACCCTCCGCCTCCGAAAGGTGCGTGATGGGCAGAGGAATAACTTTTTAAGAGAAAGTTGCGTATCTTCGTGTGCAAATAGTGCAAGAATAGTGAAGAAAAAAAAAAAAAAAAAACACACCAAAAAAACACCACCCCAAACCTCTTGGAAATGAGTTTCTGCGAAAAGAAAGAAGGATTTTGCTCGGGGTTAGGCTTTATCAACTTCCCACTTCATATATTTTCTCCTGTTTTTTTTCTTTTTTTTTTTTTAAAAAAAACATAAGGCCCTTCTAAACAGTAGTTGCCGGGCACGCTGGGGAGAGAGGATTTACGACCCGGCAGCCCCTCTATGTCTTTTTTAAATGCCCCTTGGCCGCGTGCCACGCCGTGGCCTACCGGCCTGCACAGTCTCATTCCCGACATCAAAGCCCCTCCGTCGAGGCGCGGAAGGCGGAGGGAAGGAGGGAGGGGAGGCCCGCACCTCCGTCGGTACCCCCGCACCTCCGCCCGTACCCCCGCACCTCCG